GTTTATCGCCTACGCTAAATGCGGAAAGTCCTCAATATTACCTCATGCTTTAAGGCATTTGCAGTGATTTGTTATTGAGTTGAAACGCTTGTCTGCTTTGAACACGTCGGCAGCAAACAGGCATTTGACAGCGGTTGTCTCTCACGTTCAGCCTGATCCTTCTGGGAAGCAAATACTTCAGAGTACTTTTTACTATACCTATAACAGTTTGAGGACGAATGGGGTTGATTGTTTATAGCCGTGTCAAAGATGGGCATGAATTGGTCTTTATTGCCATTTATACTTTGATAATCGTCCGACGAAAGGCCCCAAGGACAGCCAAGATTACCCTGAATCAAGCATATTGAAGGACTCTGCTTTAAACACTGGCTATTCTCTGCTGAAGTTTATATGGTGGCAAAGGATCAGGAACGTTGGAAGCACTGGTTGACATGTCTGCCTCCGCTGAATTGAATTTATTTGTTGCCGGTAACCAAGCTTTATGAAAGTCTACTTTTCGCTGCTATCCTTTTAATTGTTGCTGGTTTATAATTGAAGCGTAAGGTCCATTGACTGCGGGTTTCTCCCCTGATTGAGGTAGGCACATTAGTGGTCATTTACATGTAGATTAAATGGCATCGGTGTTAAACACCTTGCTGCAAATTCTGCCAACTGACCTCAAGATGGTTGCAGACATTTCGTTACTTATCTGAAGTAGATCAACAAGTTCCATCACACGTGGTAGACAGTGGCATGATTCTCGGTAGTTGTCTATCGTTCGAAGAGGAGCCGGCAAAATGTATATGTGTAGGAATAGGGCAAGATACTATGCATTCCTCCACATACCATGTATGTGTTGATACTGCTTCTGTACATAAAATAACCCTAGTTTACAGAGTCATTACTAATATGAACTGACCATCCTGAGTACCGAATCATACCCATTATAGAAACGCATAAGGAACCACTGTCACATTGCCAAAGAATCGGTTTTTACTCTGTTTAGATTTTGACTAGCTACCAGATGAGTCAGTGTGAGTAGCCGAGGTAAATCGCATATATCACACGGCATAGTCGTACGTTCCACCTGCTCTACCATGACCAAGCTGAAGTTTTACCCTCTGTTAGGAAATGGACCACTGGAGACCTGTTTCTCGACTGGTTGCGTTAAAACGCAAGGAGGCCCTTTCCTGCTTAGAGGAACTGACGGCAAAAGAAAATTTAATGTCATGCTGGCCTGTGAACTCGGCACCTCTAAAGTGCAAAACGAACTGCTGTGCAAGTTTTTTCCATGTTAAATGGGGCGTCCATAGCACTGTATTTACCTCAGATAAACTTAGACTTACATATGTTCATTCTCACGAAATTATATGTTATAATGTCATAGTTTTTTGTTTTTATTTTACTGTCAAGTTTTACCTCAATAGGTAAATAGCATCAGGTTATGAAGAACTGCCGTTTATTTTTCTCTAAATATGTCAGAAGTTAGGCACTCTTCGAACATTAGTGAACATTATTTGGCACTGGGCACTGTCTCATTCTACTTAAAACTGAGACGAATCCTAATTTTGACTCAAAACCTCCGATCTGAGTTTGCAGTCTCACTTTTCGACCTTCAGACATGCAAGCATATAAGACGTGACAAAAAATTGGTTTACCGCAGGTCATCACTTTGCAGTTAATCCGTGTTTCCAAGGATCCATGAGAATTCA